AAGCTTAAATGGTAGGTACAAAATAGACAGGGGGAGGTTAAGAATAGTATAGGACATGTAGAAGCCAAAGAACTTATGTGTATGACCCATGGACATGAACTAAGTGGTCAGGGGAATTCTGGAAGCTGATGGGTGCAGGATGGAGGGGAATAAAAGGGGAACATGGGACAACTGTAATTGTGTAATCAATAGAATATACTTTAAAAGTTTTTAAAGTACCTGTTGAAGCAGGGCAATATTCAGGACTATTCTTGGGCAGTTTATAATTTAAAAAATAGTCTACATATTATTTTTCATTAGAAACAAATATGTTTTGCAAGATAAAAAGTTTTAGAGATCTGTTGTACAACAATGTGAATATATCGAACACAACTGAACTGTATGCTTAAAAATGGTTAAGGTGGTACTTTTTACAATATGTGCTTTTTTTAATATGAAAGTTCTTACTTATTCTTTTTATTTTATTTTATTTTATTTTATTATCTTTAGAGGGGAAGGGAAGAGAGGGGAGAGAAATATCAATGTATGGTTGCTTCTCATGGGTCCCCCACTGGGAATCAGCCTGCAACCCAGGCATGTGCCCTGACTGGGAACCTAAAGGCGATCCTTTGGTTTGCAGACCCGCGCTCAATCCACTGAGCCACACCAGCCAGGGCTGTTATGTGCTTTTTAACCACAATTTTTAAAAAAGATTATATTTATTCTTTAGAGAGAGAGGGAGGGAGGGAGAGAAACATCCATGGGTGTAAAAGAAACATGGATTGGTTGCCTATCCAACATCCCTAACCAGGGGACTGGCTTGCAACCCAGGCATGCACTCTGACCAGGAATTAAACAAGAGATCTTTTCATTCACAGGCCAGCACTCAGCCATTGAACCACACCAGCCAGGGCTTAACCACAATTTTTAAAAAGGGATGGGTAGTCATGAACAAGCTTCACAAATTTGAGAACCCTGGAAGGTAACAAAAAACAAAATCTGACCCCTTAAACACCATTAATTAATTAACGTGGGATACATTTCCTGCCCACCTTTTATTCTACAAATAGTTTTCTTAAACTTTACCAGGTACAGACCTGACCTCTGTGGCTCAGTTGGTTGAGTGTTGTCCCACAAAGTGATAGGGTGCCGATTCGACTCCCAGTCAGGATAAATGCCCGGGTTGCCGACTTGGTCCCCTGTTGGGATGTGTATGGTAGGCAAGCAATTGGTGTTTCTCTCACACTTTGATGTTTCTCTCCTTCTCTTTCCCCCTCTTTTCCATTCTGTCTAAAAATAAAATAAATGAAAAATTTTAAAAAGAATTAAAAACTTTAATTAGGTGCATGTTGCAGTATGCTTTAAAACAATGCTCTTTGTAAATATAGCTTTGCATTAGTGTGGGGCTTCATAAAATACATTTTAATGACTGTCCATCATTTTCTAACATATTCTAATATGTTTGGCCATTTGGATTGCTTCCTATTTACCACTATTATCAATAATGCTTCAATAAACATCTTTGTGCATAAAATATTATTTAAATTTAGAAGTAAAGATTAGTTCCTAGAAGTGGAATTACTGGGTCAAATGGTTGGAGTAAAAGGATTTTGATACATGGTGTCAGTCCTCTTTCCAGAAAAAAAAATGATGAGAGGATCAGTGCGGGACAGAGCTCAAGGCAACTAGAGGACAAAAATCACTTAGTATGGAGGGTAATGTTCACCTCACCCCTAAACCTCCTCCCCACATCTCTGGGTGCCTGGAATTCTTTGAGAAGGAGAACGAACCTTTGTCTTTCCCTCAGAGAGGAGAGGCTTTCCAGGCACTAATGGCAGGGGGCCTGAGTTCTGGACGAAGTTATGGTTAGAGGAGAAGAGCTTAGAGAGGTGGAGGTGGCCTCTGGGAGACCCCGGGGTTTCACAGAGGAGGGGACAGACGACCCAACCAGCTCTGCCCAGGTCTGCCTTGTGGCACTGCCCTGGTGTAGTAGAAACTCACTAATACCGCTCCACGCTCCACAGGGCCACTTTACCTGCCCTCCTCTTCCAAGGATCATCCCTGGCAATTTCATTTACAAAGTGTTCTCTGCCCTTTCTATGTGATTTTGACAGTGTCCTCTCTTTGGGACATTAGAGCACAAAATTATCCTACTAATGGAAGTAGCTGTAATACTGCCTTATGGAGCATAAATTCCTAAGGTTAGAGACTACACTTCCTATACATTGTCCATTAGAAATCCAGCACATTACATACTATACAAATGTACCTAATAAGTGACTGAGAATGAAGGAAGTAGAGTGGCAGAAAATTTGCAGTGCAGAAGAACTTTCCTCTCTGAAAGGAGGGCCCAAAATATTATGATGAAACAAAGAAAAATTTCTTAATGCCTCCCTACACCAGGGCTTTCTCAGAGTAAGGTATAAATTCAGGTGGTGTTTTTAAAACACAGTCAGAATGGTTTACAGCTATGACCAACCAGCTATTCGCCCAAATTTCTTTCCTTGTCATTCCCTGCTGCTCTAGTTAAGAGCTAGTTTTGTGTCTATTTGGAGTCTTGGCCTTGAATGTTTCGTTGCAGGGGTGGCAGGGCATGCTGGGAAGGCAAGGGGGAAGTTCCATCTCTGCCTTCCCTTTGACAAGCCCAGAGTCTCTGGGGTCAGTGGGCACTCTCTCTGCCCAACAGGGTTGCTAGGAAAGCAACTGAGATAATGTAGGTAGAGATGCCCACAAATCGCACACTGCCAGACCAAAGTAATACAACATTTTTAATATTTCCTTTCTATAGTAAGAATTATAGCTATTTAGAGAGTTGAACTCAGTTCAAGCTGAGAGCCCCTTCTCCCAGCTGTCTCAGCTGTTCTCAGGAATTCTGTGGCAGCCACTCCCTCAGTTCTCAGCTGGCTCCGTGATTCAGAAAACATCTCTCCCCACCCTCCCTAACAACTCATCCCCCAATTCCTTTGCCCTTCCCTACTTAAGTATATTTGTGACGAACTGCCAAATGTATGCTACATGGCTCATTCATTTAATCAGGCAGAAACAAAGCAATCTGGCGCTGGGTGTCCACAGTGCTCCAAGAAGGGAGCCGCTGCTTTCTCCCAGGCATCTCATTTCCACAGCGGGTACTGTTCATACTTTTATGGATGAGGAAACCACATCTGAGACAGGCCAAGTACCTCTTCCTGGCCACACATCTAGACTCTAGCTTCTTCTTTATAAAAATGTTATTGTATTGTTGTAAAAACACTCAACCTGAGATCTATTCTCTTAAAGTGTATACTATATTATTGTTACAATAATATACTACAATGTTCCACAGCAAATCTTATTCATATTGCTCAAATGAAACTGGGTAGTAAATCCCCATTGTCATGACCCCAACTTCTGAAACAAGAAACAGGACACGTGAGCCCTGAGGCTGTGTTTATATTGGCACGGTGCAACGGAGTTTTGTAGCTGCAGTAGAATTGATTGGAAAACGATGAAACCGGAAAACCGTTTCGTCCAATGCTCATCCAGTGCACTGGGGGACCACACTGAACAGCTGGCCTCCTCTCCAAGGCCCTGACAGACACCACAACTTCTCCAACTTTTCATCTGGCTTCTGCTCAAAAGAACAGCTGGAGAAGTGGCACCTCAAGGGCTCTTGACTATTTTTATGTACCCATCTGCCCTCCAGACCAGGCCTGGCAGGCAGCAGCAAGCCCAAGGAATGCTACAGCAGGTGGGTGACACCCTGACAGCTGAGGACGCCAAGCCCTGTTCCTGACTGTTGTTCTAGGGACACTGGAAATGTGGCATGAGGATATCAAAGGGAGAAAGAAAGCCTTTTACATGTCATAGTTTGGGGTGATATGTGTGCCCTTGATTCATTTTCTATTTCTAGAATGAGCTGAGCTTGCCCTGCCATTGTCGGGGTCTGCGGATCAGGCTCCAGCAGGGAGCACAATGTGTCAGATACTTTGGTCAGCTGCTGACCTCAGTCCACCAGGAGAGAGGGCATAGCAAATGCTCTGCAGAGGAGAGGCACCCAAAGAAAGCCTGAGACTTCACCTTGTAATAATAAGACCTGGGTGTCCCTGTGGTGGCCTTGACTGAAAGCTAAACTTGGAGCAGTCAGGCAGCCAAGCATTGGTGGGGCTGCCATCAGATTTGTGGTTAGAGGATGGGCTTGTTTCATTCACAGTGTCCTGGGCAGGAGGAAACATTAAAAAATCAATTAGTAAAACCCTACTTTTATTATAGAAAATTTTAAACATACACAAATTAGAGACTACCTTAATGAACTCCATGTATCCATCACCCAGCTTCATGTAGAAGCATTTCTTAAATGTTAACAGTACAGGGTCTGTCCAGAAAAACTCCAGCCATTGTTAATATAACGAAGACAGTTTGAGTGGCATTGATGTAACCTGGCAGCCAAGGAGAGTGGACTGGAATGTGAGTGTCTGAACAATGATGACTTCACTATACTAGTTAGTGAGGGTAGTAGACACCGTTGAATGAGCATGTGAACTGTGTGGCAATTGCATTCAAAATGACTAAACAAGTAAGAGCAATGAATCTGCATCAAATTTTGTGTTAAGCTTGAACATTCCTCTGAGGAAACTCTTTGGATGATTCAGAAGGCCATAACTACAGGCAACTGATGATTGGCAGCTTTATCACAACAACATGTCCATCCATGCATAGTGTCTTATGCAGAATTTTTTGGTGAAACATCAAATTACCCAGGTGATTCACCCCCTTTACATCCCAGATTTGGCACCCTATGACTTCTGGCTTTTTCCAAAACTAATGTCATCTTTGCAAGGGAAGAGATTTTAGATCATCAGTGAGATTCGGGAAAATACTACAGGGCAGATGATGGTGATTGGGAGAACTGTGTGAGGTCCCAAGGTGCCTACTTTGAAGGGGACTGAGGTGTCATTATCCCATGGACAATGTTTCTCATGTCTTGTATCTTCTTCAATAAATGTCTCTATTTTTCATGTTGCGTGGCTGGATGCTTTATTGACAGAACTCACATACCTGTATCCTGTAGAAGAAAAGAAAAAATATGGTATGTTTGTGTCAGATTTACTGTAAGTGTTTTAATTTGTTCTTTTCATGAAGAAATGGGAAAATAAATGGGTCAGATATTTTGAAGATTATATATTGAATTTTTGTTACATCTTCCTTTTCTCTTAGGTAAAGGGTGTTTACTTTCCGAGCATTGATGGATGCCTGCTATGTGCCAAGCTCCCTTCCAGGTTCTATCTTTGGACCTACTGGAATAGCATCTATCAGCTCTTAAGGTCTAGGAAGAGGTGGATTGAGGCCAGCACTGGTGGGACTTTGAGAAAGGTAATTAAAATCTAAATTCTAGGCTTCCTCATGTGTAGAGTAACCAAGTTAGTGTTGATCTTAACTATTATTATGAAAATGCAGTACAACTCTCTTTAAACCACAGAATTATTTTGTAATGATAAAAACACTTCTTAGCCCTGGCCATGTAGCTTAGTTGGTTAGAGCATTGTCCTGATATGTCAAGATTGTAGGTTCAATCCCCCATCAGGGTACATACCAGAAGAAACCAATGAATGCATAAATAACTGGAACAATAAATTGTTGTTTCTCACGCTCTCTCAGATCAACTAATTAATTTTTTAAAAGTTGTTAAAAATAGTAAAAAATATAAAAGTTATTTGGACTGTTTGTGAACCAACAGGGGTCAGAAACACTCTTCTGGGACCCTAAAGCTGCCCTCCTTCTAGTTGGAGAGGCTGAAAAACTGAGCCACATCTCTGTAAACTCTCTGTTGCAAGGGTTCTGGATGTAAATGGTGGTTTGGCCAGTTAGAGGCTTGGGGCCTGGTTAATAAGTAGGACTCTCTCTTGCTCTTCCTGTGACCCAGCAGGACCCTCCTCAGACTCAGTGAGGGTCTTGGGGAACAGTCATGCAGCTGTCCAGGCAACCCTTACTCCAGTGCTTCCAGTGACTCTGAGCATCTTATTCTCTGGGTTAAATCTTTTTCTGCTTGAACTGTGTGGAATGACTATTCTTCCTACAGCAAATTCTGTCTGAAAAGGGCAACTCAGAGAATGAAAGAAGGGCCACCCACAGTCCTGGGGCAGCTTCTGGAGCCTTCACTCTTTCTCCTGTTTCTACTTGGTTTGGTCTCTGTGTCAATCTCTTAGGCTCTTTCTGTGGCAGATGCCTTGGATGCTGCTTGGACCAGCCTGGGCCATGGAGCACATGAGAAGTTCACGTTTGGCAGCTCCACCCAAACGTTGTGAAGTTGAGTAGCAGCTGTTCCTCAAAGAAGGACATTTGTGTCACCTGAAGAATAGGAAGAAATGCTTTGCAGAGAGAAGCGACATGTGACCCAGAAACTTTTAACCAAGACAGCTAAGACAAGCACTGGACTCTGGCACCCGGGAGCTCTGTTTGCTTTTGCTGAGTGATCCTGTACACCAACCACCCCACCAACAGTGGCTTAAAAGACAGGCATTTCTTTTCTTCTTCTTCTGGCTGCTCTGGCTGGCTGCTCTGAAGGCCATCTGGATGAGGCTCTAGGCTACAGGGCATGTTCAGATCTGCTCCCTTTATCTCACTCTGGAACCCCGCTGAGAGGGCAATGGCTACCTGGAGGTGTTCTTGTTATGATGATCACTAGAGCACCTAAGGGCCAGGCCAGGCATGCAAATTGAGGGCTCAGCTCAGGACCTAGCTGCTAATATGCCAAGCCCTTGATTGCGGTTCCAGCACCTGCCAAGATTACATACCCTAGGAAGGAGAAACCAGCCCAGTGTCCGTAGGAGCTTAAGAAACGAGTCTACTCTCAGAGTGGCAGAGAGGAGACTTTCCTATGTTTGATGAATTGAGTTAATTTGAGTGTTTGCTTTTACAAACTATTTTTCTCATGTTTGTGACTCGTTTTAGATATTTTTATTATTGTTTTTATTTTTTGCAGCTATCAGGAACTACATGTATTTCTGTCATTTAATAAAACCTTACTGTTTTCAGCCTGTTTTAACTCTATTATCTTATTTGATTCTTATAATATTGTGGGTGATAAGGAAAAATAGCATTAAACCCATTTAACAGATGAGGAAATTAAATCTGAGAGGTGTCCAATAACTCCCTCCAAAACAATAGAGCTAGCAAAAGAGCAGAATTGGAAGTAGCACCTAAGTATTATTTGAATCTTCAAGAATAATTTATGTCTGGCAAACACAGGGTGCTATTTTAAAAGTGGGAAGAGTTAGCACAGTCATAAGTTAATCAGTCATTTAATAAAAACAGAAAATCATTTCTTTTTATTCCTAGTTAAATAAAACTATATTGTGAAATTGCTAATCAAGTGATATTTATAGCATAATTTGTTTACAAGTCATCTTGGTAATCTTCAACTATTATTTTATTTTTAGGAAATGTTGAGGTGATTTCTTTTTTATGACTTGGTAGCTGCTAGCTAAATGATGCCATTGTCTGAGCCATGGTCTGATACAGGAAACACTCCAAACTCTCCCAGTGGGTGTCTTGTATGGAGAACTGCTGTTAACACCAATGATACTGCTCTTCATCTTCATTAGTTCCACAAAACTAACTTCAACTCCATTTGAAAGACTTCTAGACTTTCTAATACTGCCTAAGGTTTTATTCAATAGCTCTGTTATTAACCAAGCCATGAAAACACCTTAATGAAATGCTACATTTAATTAGTTGGCTTCATCTTATTAATTTTTATTCATTTTCAAGCCATCAAGCCTCATACATATTATTTGGCAGAGTTTTGTGATTCAGTACCTTGAAATATTATAAACCATTATATTTTTTCATCAAATCACAAATGCATTTTAATGTATTAGGTTGGCTAAAAAATTTGTTTGCTTTTTAGATTTTATTTACTTATTTTTAGATAGAGAGGAATGGGGAGAGAGAGGAAAGGGGAGAGAGAGAAGGAGAGAAACATCAGTGTATGGTTGCCTCTCACACATCCCCCTCACACATGTGGGGGACTGGCCCACAACCCAGGCATGTGCCCTGACTGGGAATCAAACCAGTGACCCATCAGTTTGCAGGCTGGTGCTCAGTCTAGTGAGCCACACCAACCAGGGCTGTTTGTTTTTTTTTCTGAATGGTGGCTCTGGTAGTTCTTGGTTGTCTTTAACTTCACTCAAAACAATTTTTTTTACAATCAGAAATGAAAGAGGAGAGATTGCAACTGATACCACAGAAATACAAAGGATTGTAAGAAATTACTGTGAAGAAATTTGAAAACCTAGATGAAATGGACAAATTTCTAGAAAAATATAATCTTCCAAAACTCAGTAAAGAAGCAGCAGAAAGCCTGAACACACCAATGATGAAATTGAAAAAGTAATAAAAAAGCTTCTGATACACAAAAGCCCTGCACCAGACAGTTTCACAGGAGAATTTTATGAAGTATTTAAGGGAGAGCTAACCCCAATCCTCCACAGATTATTTCAAAAAGTTCAAGAAGATGGAAGACTCCCAAACTCTTTTTATTAAGCCAGCATCATCTTAATCCCAAAACCTGATAAAGACATAACAAAGAAAGAAAACTTCAGGCCAATATTACTAATGAACATAGATGCTAAAGTCCTCAACAAAATATTGGCAAACTGCATCCAGCAATACATTAAAAAGTTCATACACCATGATCAAGTAGGATTCATCCCAGAGATGGTACAATATTCACAAGTCAATAAACATAATACACCACATAAACAAAATGAAAGATAAAAATCACATGATCATATCAAGAGATACTGAAAATGCATTTGATAAGGTACAGCACCCATTTAGGATAAAAACACTCAGCAAAGTGGGAATACAGGGAGCATTCCTCAACATAATAAAGGCCATATAGAGAGACCTACAGACAAAATCATACTCAATTGACAAAAACTTAGAGCTTTCCCACTAAGATCAGGAACAAAACAAGAATGCCCACTTTCACCACTACAATTCAACATAGTACTGGAAGTCCTAGCCACAGCAATCAGACAAGAAAAAGAAATAAAAGGCACCCAAATTGGAAAGAAGAAAACTGAACTATCATTGTTTACAAATGATATGATAGTGCACATAGAAAGTCCTATAAACTCCATAAAAAAACTGCTTGACCTAATAAATGAATTTGGCAAAACAGCTGGATACAAAGTCAATACTCAGAAATCAAAGGAATTTTTGTACACCAATAATGAAACATCAGAAACAGAAACCAGGAAAAAAATACTATTTGATATAGCAACAAGAAAAATAAAGTACCTAGGAATAAACCTAAGGAGGTAAAAGACCTGTACTCAGAAAGCTATGTAACACTGAAGAAAGAAATTAAGGAAGACACAAACAAATGGAAGTATATACTGTGTTCATGGATTGGAAGAATTAACATCATCAAAATGTCCATACTATCCAAAGCAATTTATAGATTCAATGCAATCCCTATTAAAGTACCAATGACATATTTCACAGATATAGAAAAAACATTTCAGGAATTTATAGGGAACCATAAATGGCCCCAAACAGCTGCAGCAATTCTGAGAAAGAAGAACAAAGCAGGAGGGATAACAATACATGATATCAAACTGTATTATAAGGCTACTATAATCAAAACAGCCTGTTACTGGCATAGAAACAGGCATGTGGACCAATGGAACAGAACAGAGAGCCCAGAAATCAACTCAACTCTCTACAGTCAATTAATATTTGACCAAGGGGGCAGAAGCATAAAATGGAGCAAAAGTGGCCTCTTCAACAAATGGTATTGGGAGATATAGGCAACTACATGCAAAAAAAAAAAAAAATGGAATTCAATCACCAACTTACACCATACACAAAAATAAATTCAAGGTGAATAAAAGACTTAATTATAAGTCATAACACCATAAAAGTCCTAGAGAAAAACATTGTCAGGAAAATCTCAGACATTCCACACGGCAACATCTTCATGGATATGTCCCCTAACACAAGGGACATAAAGGAAAGAATAAACAAATGTGATCTCATCAAATTAAAAAGCTTCTGCATGGTTAAAGAAAACAGCATTAAAATGAAAAGAGAACCAACTATATGGGAAAACATATTTACCAATGATACCTCAGACAAGGGTTTGATCTCCAATATATATAAAGAACTCACATGACTCTACTCCAGGAAGACGAAAAAACCAGTGAAAAAGATGGACAAAAGACTTGAATAGACAATTCTCCAAGGAGGACATACAGAGGGCCCAGAGACATATGAAAAGGTGCTCAGCATCATTAGCCATCAGAGGGATGCAAATTAAAACCACAATGAGATACCACTTCACACTGGTCAAATGGCCAATATAAACAAATCAACAAACAAGTGTTGGAGAAGATGCGGAGAAAAGGGAACCCTAGTGGTGGGAATGCAGACTGGTGCAGCCACTGTGGAAAACAGTATGGAATTTCCTCAGAAAACAAAAATGGAACTGCCTTTTGACCCAGCAATTCCACTGCTGAGATTATACCCTAAGAATCTTGAAACACCAATCCAAAAGAACCTATGCACCACAATGTTCATAGCAGCACAATTTACAATAGCCAAGTGCTGGAAGAAACCTAAGTGCCATTAGTAAATGAGTGGATATAAAAACCATGATACATTTATACAATGGAATTCTACATAGCAGAGAGAAAGAAGGAGCTTATACCCCATGAGACAGCGTGGATTAAACTGGAGAGCATTATGCTAAGTGAAATAAGCCAGGTGGTGAGGGACAAATACCATATGATCTCAGCTTTAACTGGAACATAATCAACAAAGGAAAAAAAGCAACAAAATATAACCAGAGACATTGAAATTAAGAACAATCTAACAATAGCCAGAGGGGAGGGGGAAGAAGAGAGTGGGGAGAAAGGTTTTCAGTAACTACTATAAAGGACACATGGACAAAACCAAGTGGAAGGGTGGACGCAAGGGAGGGAGGGGGATTTGGTTGGGCTGGGGGGCAGGGGTAAGGAGAAAATGCAGACAACTCTAATTGAACAACACTAAAGTTAAAAAAATGTATTCTGAACATCTGCAAAAATCCCTCCAATTTTGTTAGATTGTATTGTGACAGCTGTCATATCAGCATGCATTTTTTAAAAATTTGTCAAAATTGGTAAATTTTTGTGTAGCCATTTTAATATTGAAGATGTAAGAAAACAAGCAACATTTTTGGCATATTTTGCTTTATTATTTCAAGAAAGATAAAAACCCAACTTAAATGCAAAAAAAGTTTGTGCAGTGTATGGAGAAGGTGCTGTGACTGATCAAATGTGTCAAAAGTGGTTTGCGAAGTTTTGTGCTGGAGATTTCTCGCTGGATGATGCTCCATGGTAGAGCAGATCAGTGGAAGTTGATAGTGATCAAATTGAGACATTGAGAACAGTCAACATTATACCATGTGGAAGATAGCCAACATACTCAATATGTCCAAATCCATAAAGTTATTGGTGAAGATGAAAAATGTGTCTTCTATTTTGTGGATAAGAACTAAATGGATTTTCTGGCCAACTTAACACTTGATTAGACATAATCAATAGAAAAAAAATACTTTTCTTCTGGAGTTGATGTTTGTGTTTATCTCCAAATGATGTCTCATATACTTCTAGTTCAATAGTATCTTCTGCTTCTAACTCATAGTTTATCTTATTTTATATATTTGATCACTTTTATAAATTATGGAATTAAATTGTCATCTTTAATAACTGGAAATTTTCTTTATTATGCAACTAAAGGGAGCATTAATTCTATATTAGATCATAATGTATAAGTTCCATATCTCTACAAAAAAATTTT